AGAAAGAAAGAAAGAAAGAAAGAAAGAAAGAAAGAAAGAAAGAAAGAAAGAAAGAAAGAGAAATTATTCTTGCAGGTGCCCTTTTCTGATGGTTGCCTTGTTTTCTGTAAATATAATCTTTCTGGGGATAGAACTGTTTAAAAGGGATATGTGATTAGTTATTATTGTCATGACAGTTATTATTGTCATGACAGGAGTCCAGAACAAAGACTGCATAGTGGAGTGGACTTGCAGGGAGGGATTGTGTAACAATGAAAGAATTTTTCTTTTACTTTTCAAAGAGAAGAGCAAACTGGCGAGGAGGTTGGGCAGGGAGAAAAATGCAACAATGAATGAATGAAAATCCAAAGTCTCTGTAAACTTTAATTAAAAGTAATAAAATTTTAAAAATGATCTTTCTTCTTCCCTTCTTTCCCCCAATTGAGGAGGACAATGAAGATCTGAAATGCCAGCTGCAGTTCGTTAAGGAAGAAGCAGCGTTGATGAGAAAGAAAATGGCCAAGATTGATAAAGAAAAGGACCGATTCGAACACGAGCTCCAGAAATATAGATCCTTCTATGGCGATCTGGACAGTCCTTTGCCCAAGGGAGAAGCCGGAGGCCCTCCCAGCACCCGGGAAGCTGAGCTCAAGCTTCGGCTGAGGCTGGTGGAAGAAGAAGCCAACATCTTGGGCAGGAAAATTGTGGAACTGGAGGTGGAGAACCGAGGCCTGAAGGCAGAACTCGATGACCTGCGGGGTGATGACTTCAATGGCTCAGCCAACCCCCTCATGAGGGAGCAGAGCGAATCCCTGTCGGAGCTGCGGCAGCACCTGCAGCTGGTGGAAGACGAGACGGAGCTACTGCGAAGGAACGTGGCCGACCTGGAGGAGCAGAACAAGCGCATCACGGCTGAGCTCAACAAGTACAAGTACAAGTCCGGGGGCCACGATAGCACCCGGCATCACGACAGCGCCAAGACCGAGGCCCTGCAGGAGGAGCTCAAGGCCGCGCGCCTGCAGATCAACGAGCTCAGCGGCAAGGTCATGCAGCTGCAGTACGAGAACCGCGTGCTCATGTCCAACATGCAGCGCTATGACCTGGCCTCGCACCTGGGCATCCGGGGCAGCCCCCGGGACAGCGACGCCGAGAGCGATGCCGGCAAGAAGGAGAGCGATGACGACTCCCGGCCGCCCCACCGCAAGCGTGAGGGCCCCATCGGTGGCGAGAGCGACTCGGAGGAGGTGCGCAACATCCGCTGCCTCACCCCCACGCGCTCCTTCTACCCCGCGCCCGGGCCCTGGCCCAAGAGCTTCTCTGACCGGCAGCAGATGAAAGACATCCGCTCCGAGGCCGAGCGCCTGGGCAAGACCATCGACCGCCTCATCGCGGACACGAGCACCATCATCACCGAGGCGCGCATTTACGTGGCCAACGGGGACCTGTTCGGACTGATGGATGAGGAGGACGACGGCAGCCGCATCCGGGAGCACGAGCTGCTCTACCGCATCAACGCGCAGATGAAGGCCTTCCGCAAGGAGCTGCAGACCTTCATAGACCGCCTCGAGGTGCCCAAGTCAGCCGAGGACCGCGGTGCAGAGGAGCCCATATCCGTGAGTCAGGTACAGTTCTGCCTAGTGCGAGCTTTGGCGATGGCATCCCGACTTCCACGCCCCGCGGTAGGGAGGAGCCAACCCAGAGCTGGGTTTCAAGGCCAACACTCAGAGTTGCCTTCAAGCCTGAGGGTTTTGTAACCCAATCAGTTGGTAATTATATCCCTTCCCCTTTGCCTAGTTTAAAGACATGTTCAACTTAACACCCTTTCGTTTTTCAATAAAGACCAAAAAGTGTTTTAAACATATTTTCACAAAGTCCACGTTTTCACTTTTGCCCTAATACTTATTCTCACAGATCAAGCTGCAAGGAGAACTTACTTAGCTAGGACTCTTTGTGAATTTGCCATTTTCAAGACCAGATAGGAAATGAGCTTAAGACAGCAAAACTGATCACTATCTGCTGGTGAAATCTAGAAACCAGTGGTAAAGAGAGATGGTATTGTGCCTAAGAATCTAACAACAGGGACACACAAGCATTTTTAACCTTTAACTGTAAGTTGTAGTAATATGATCATTATTTCTAGAGGAAATTATTGACTGTTCCATAGGGAGGTTCTTAAGAGTCAGGAGGGAGTTTTGTGTAACTCAAAGAAGACAACGCTAATTCTGACACCTCAGGGAAACCAGAACTATTTCCAGAACAAGGGGAAACTAGCGTTTTTCCTTCATCCCGATTTGTAGAGGAACACTTGATGAATTGGACTGAGCTGCTCTGACCAGGTATGGCAGCCATTTAAAGGCCATTATGCTTTGTCAGTCAACCCCCCAAGAAATAATTTGGAAAGCAAAGCAGGCATTGCTAAAGCTCTGGCAGGCATGGTGCACGCGGTCCTTTAGAGAACCAACAGAAGTACAAAAGCGGGCATGGCTGGCTTTCAAAGAGACGCAAGGCATCTCCGTCAGAATCAGCTTGACCTTAAACTAACTGCCTCTGAGTTTGTGCCATTAGACATACTGCAACCCTATTGCTCTTTCATCTTGCATGTTTCTCTGCTTTGCTGTGAAAAACAAAATTATTCAATATTTTGGTTTAATTTGGTGAATTTTTAAATATTTATGCTTGGTTTCTTTTCTGTTTGCTATACCAAATAATGGATTTTTCACTTTTTTTAATGCCGATTTCTTAAATAATGTGAATATGTGGGGCTTTCCCCCCAATTATATACACAAGGAGAATAAGAGAAGTCACAGTGAGAGAAAGCATTGTGTGTACTAACAGGCTTTCTGCTAGGTATCTTTAGTCAAGAGAAGCGTAAAGTTGGGGGGGGGGGGCCTTTTTCTTTTAAGGTGGAATAGAGTAGTTGATACAACCTTGAATTTTAAATTATTATTAATTAACTCTTCTCTTTGTCTTTGCATTTACTTTCCCAGATGTTCCAGCCTATCATTTTACTTATTCTCATTCTTGTATTATTTTCATCACTTTCTTACACAACAATATTTAAACTTGTCTTCCTTTTTACACTCTTTTTTGTGCTGTAAGTCTTTCATCATTTACCATTCATTGTAGTATTTTCAGTTTGTTTATTTTGTTCACCCTTCAAGACAAGAAGTAAAAGAAGTATAATTTCTGTAGTCACTAATGCTATAAAAACACTGAAGACTGCTTATTTCTTTACAAAGACAACTCATCTTAACACTACAAAATTCTCTAAGAAGCCCAAGCACTAAAATTTCAGGTAAGGAAATGTCATTTTTCGTTTGCTTGATTTTCATATGAATCATTTAAATTTTGCTTTTTCCCTTCACATCTTTATTTGTAGTCTTCTCAGTAAATCAAGTCAGACATGCTGTAAAAATCAGTTCAATGGGCCAATATCATACAATTTCATTTACTGTAACAAATGTGCATTTAAAATAGAAATGCTCTTTGGAGGCAAGAATGATGAGACTTCGCCTCACATTGGGCATGTTGCTAGCAGGGTCTGTTCCTTGGAGATGGACATGATGCTGGGAAGGGTGGAGGGTCAGCGGAGGAGGAGAAGACCGTCAAGGTGAATTGACACCGTGACTGCAGCAATGGGCTCTGTGTGTCAGCGAGTGTGAGGATAGTGCAGGATAGAGCAGAGTCATACTCTATGTGATGGTATCTAACAACAGCAGCATGGGACAATTGTGCTGGTGGTAAGGAGGATGTGTAAACTCACTGCTCAGTTTTCTGTAACCCTAAAACTATTCTGAAAATAAAGCCTATTATAAAGGAAAAAAAAATCAGTTCAGTCTCTTACAGTGACTTCTTAGCTGCTTGTAGTGATAATTCAAGAGATAGACACTTGCAAATTGATTGCATTTTCAGAGAAAAAGTTGAAAGATTTATGATAAATTCTTTGCCTGGAGATAATTTTGCCATTCAACAAATATATGTGAAAATTATAGTGAGCTTAGGGATATTTTATTTGTTGTAATGCTGGTGGTGTTTTGAGCAAAAAGATCTGTTTGGGAGTATGACACTGGAATAGGCCTTAGTTCATTCAGAAGATTAATTATTCCTACCATACTTTATTTGTCCAGGTTTCTAACCAAACCAGTCCTCTCTGCCTTTAATTATACCTAGAGTCATATGTTGCTAATCATGTCTATTTCCCAGAATAGAATGCTACACAGAACATCCCCTTAGAGTAGAAAATATGCCAGAAACATGGTATATCCTTTGATTAGGGGGGAAAAAACAAAGCCATTTTCTAGAATTCTTGGACTGTGGTCCAAGGCCAGTGGTGTGACTTTCTCTCTAGACATATTATTGCCAGGAGCTGTCAAAACGACTCCAACTCACAATGACTCTACAAACAACAGATCAAAACCTTGCCGTGTCCTGCACTATCCTCACAATCTCCACCATGCCCAAACCCATTGTAACATTGATACGTCAATCCATCTCATTGAGGGTCTTCCTCTCTTTGACTGACATTCTGCTTTCCCACACATGGTGTTCTTTTTCCAAGGACTAATCGTCTGTCTTGGAGAGGCTAGAATTTTGAAGCTCTGCCTCACTACTTTGGGCACACGGCCAGGAGAGATTGGTCCTTGGAGAAGAACACATGCTCAGAAGGGTGGACAGCACAGGAGAAGAAGACCCTGGATGAGATGGATTGATACAGTAACTGGGCAATGGGGGTTGATGTGTCAGAATTAGTGAGACTGGCTCAGGACAGGGAAGGGTTCAGAGCTGCTGTACATAGGGTCACTATGCATCGTAGGCGACTCAACCAATAACATTCTATATGACAGGTTTGGAAGCAGGATTGGCATCCACTTCATAAACAACATGCCTCCGGAAACTCTGTGAACTTTGATAAATGATGATAGTTGTAGAGTGACTTCAGGCCTTTTGTTCATAGGTAGCTATGAGTCATGCTTGACTTGAAGGCAAACAACAACAATACCTCCTGACAACATACACAGACAATGTGAGACAAAGTTTTATTTTCTTTGCTTTTAAGGAGCACCCTAGTTATACTTCTTCTGAGACAGATCTGTATGTTCGTTTGGCTGTCCCTAGTATATTCAATGCTCTTTACTCCTATCACAATTCAAAGGCATCAGTAATTCTTGGGTCTTCCTTATTCATTGTCTAGTCACTTTTTAAAAAGAATTTCTTTTCTTTCTATATAAAAGTCATGTGAATAGGCCTCATAGATCTAGATGGTTCCATAGACCACCTTGCTGGCCGTTTAGCAGTAAGCTGTGTTGCACCAGTGCCACCCAAGATTCTGAAATCCCAACACTTTTTGCGGTCAGGTGCTTATAGATACATATTGGCCAATATAACAAGTTATGAGAAAGCTTCGTTTGTGTCCCAACGTAAAGAATAATATCTGGTAAATCTTTATGCCACCATGAGTGTCACAGTTTTTTGAAACCCAAGAATTTAACTTGCACAGGGTTTCAGGTTATTTATAGTCTCATTCCACTATTCATTCTTTTCCCTTTGAATACTAATTAAAAGGGAGAACAATAAAAAGAGGAGGAAGAGTTCTTAATGAGAGCCAGAAATGTCAGTTTAAAATAACTGCTTATGCTTCGTGGTTTTTATTTTGCTGTTGTCTGTTTTGTCTTTCAGGGGAGAAGGGTGGGGAAGGTTAACCAGCAGCTGGAATCTGTTAGCATGCACCTCTGGAATTTTATCTTAAGAGATTTAAAGGGTCTAGGTAAATTTGATGGCTACAGGGCTGAAATGAGAGAGTGCTATATTAAATCAGTGATTCAAGTGCTTACCTTCTCCCTCCCCTATTACTCTCTTTTCATGGATAATCACCACCACTTTATAAACCAAAATCAGGTACGAGATACTTGATAAGCCTCTAGGTCACAACCAAAAGTAACAAAGGAACTGAAAGTAAATAGTTAAGGGCTAAAATGTGTCTGAAATCTTTGTTGCCTTGGAGCCAGGCACACCAGCTAAGTCATGGTTCTCAGATACTTGGGGAGTATTTGGAAGTATGTGGAGATATTCGTGGTTGTCACAATGACTGGGAAGCTCTACTAATATGGAGAGGAAAGCTGTGAGGCTGTGAGACAAAATACAGAAAAGTCAAATGTCACAAATAAGCCCGCTTCCCAGGTCGTTAATAGTGTTCCTTTGGGTACATGTGGCTTGTAATGCACTTATTCACTTCAGAAGGTTATGGACATTTTCTACCCTTTGTGACTTTATGAAATTGACTTTGATTTATAATGGATGAGAAACTAGAAATTATATATCTTGATCATTGGTTCTTAAACCTCAGGGCCCAGCAGAATTCCTGGGATAGTTTTCAAATGTATTCCCTTCCCCAGGTCATTTGAAACTATATGAACCCAGATATTTTATTTCTTAAACATTTTCAAATGAGTTTGAGTTCAGTGAAGGTTTAAAGCCATATCTTTCCATTTTTTTCCCGTTATCTAAATTAAATAGGAAGCTAGAGATCATTGGTTGCTTTTGTCCCAAGAACCAGAGATCAGGTATAAGAATACCAGCTAAAAAAAAGGTGAGTTTTTTTCAGAACATCCATTTATATATTGGAGATTGGTCATATTCCTGGGGAAATATCCCTTCCAATTGATTGATTGCTCATATTGGATCACAGAATGGAAGATAATTATAGGGAGCACAGGTGGCCTGGTGGTAAGAAACTACACTTCAGTCTCAAAGGCCTGTGTTTGAATCCACCAGCTGATCTGCAGAAGAAGGATGGGCAGTCTCCTCCCATGCAATTAACTGCCTCTGAAAACCTGTTGAAGGGTCAGCTATGTGTCGGTTCTTGATGGTATACAACAACAACAACTGCCAAACCACTAAGAATTGTAACCAAGCCAAGGTGACCCATACCATTAACCATCCAAGACACCAGCCAGGGTTGCAATAAACTAGGCAATACTAGATTTATAGGATCATCAGTTGTGTTTATTTGATTATATCTTAAAGTTCTAATGAGGTTGTAGATGTTTGAATCTAATCCAGAGCGTTTCTACAACAGTTCTGTAGCCATTGCCAAAAGATCTCCAGTGACAAGGCAGTTCTGATTCCACACTGATGACGTTATTAGAAAATGGTCCTTTCAATAGTTGTTGTTGTTATGTGCCATCAAGTCGCCTGCTACTAATAGTGACCCTATGTACAACAGCCCTAAACCCTGCCCTATCCTGAGCCAATCTTATTGTCTTTGACACACCTAACCCCATTACCGTAGTCACTGAATCAATCCATCTCATGGGGAGTCTTTCTCTCCTGCACTGTTTCTCCACCCTCCCAAGCATGATGTCCCTCTCTAAGGACTGATCCCACCTGGAAACATGTCCAAAGTATGTCAGACGAAGCTTCAGAATCCTTGCCTCCAAGCCTAGTTTCACCCTCTTGAGGATGAACCTGTTCTCCTAGCAGTCCTTGATATATTCAATACTCGTCTCCAGCACCACAGCTCAAAGGCATCAATTTTCCTTCTATCATCCCTAGTCATTGTCCAACTCTCTGCTGCATAGCAAATTATTGCTAAGACCATGGGCTGTATCAGGCATGGTTAGTCTCCAGTCTGACATTGTTGCTCCTCAGTACTTTGGAGAGGTCTCTGACAGCAGTCTTTCCCAATGCAATTCATCTTTTAATTTCCTGGCTTCTGGTGCCAGGAGTGTTGATTGTGGAAGCAAGCAAATTAAAACTGTTAACAATCTCAGTCTCTCCACCATCTAAGTTCTACAAAACCATAAAATCAGAGCAAATAAATGAAGTCATTAAGTTAGGAAATGGAGGACTGAAATGAACATGGAGTGTCTTCAAGGTCAAATGCACGTGTACACTGAACAATGCAAGCTAAACCCACATTCACAGGCTGCCTATCTATCACATAGTGATCTCTGTCACAGAGTTCCTCCATGTGTTGACTCCTCCCAAAAATCCACCAGGAATGGCATGTGCCAGTAGACTCTGCTACCCAAATCATTATGGACAGAGCATATGCAAAAAAAGGTCTGAAAATAAAGCAAAAACCTGGCACGTGGATCTT